TTAATAGAGATTTTTTTTCTTCTTTTCATCAGAGTGTACGGGGATGTGTGTGTGCATCACATCCACATAGGACCTAAACAAGCAATAGCAAGTTAGATGAGGGCTTCAACTCTTCAGAAAAATCTCATTATGTGAAGAGTGAAGTGGCTCTGTAGGGAGCATTATGGAAATATCTGGGTTTGATTTAATGAGGCTCTTCACATTGGTGGAATATCAACTTAACGGAGAAAAGTCTACCCGGGGCGTCCAAGTTACCAAAATGAAAATTGGCAATTGAGATGATAAGAAAGTGGCTTTCTTGTGCGAAATCACTTCGGATAACAGATATAACATTAAATAACATACATTCTATGCACCAAGAACAATGTTTTATGTACCAAGTCTCTTATCTGTCTCTTCTAATGACTTCCCTTAGCGGGTTGTTAGTACTTGACAGCAGGTCTCTGTGCGGGGAACTTTTTTCCAATTCCACATTCAAAGGAGGTCCATCAGAGAACATGATTGGCAATTTTCGTCATAATCTGCACATTATTAGCATCAAAATTGACATGGCAGTAACATCGGTGGTTTTTGATGTGCCTTTCTTCAAGTTCAAGGAAGTCCCTCCAGTAGCAGTGGTTTGGTATAGCAGGTCTCAGTTACCCGGTGGTGGCTTTTCAGAGGCAAAGGTGTGATAGGCATGGACGAGAAATAAATCCAAGAGCCATTTTTAACGAGGAAAAAGAAACACACGAAGAGGGAAAAATAAGAAAAGAAAAAAAAATAGAAAAGTGTCTGTAAGGTAAATGCTTCAGGACAACATCCTACACCTAGAGATATTCAAGTATTTCCCAGATCGCGTGGATTATGGTAGTCAGAAAGAATGAGTTTAAAAAATACCTCTCCCAATCCTGTCAATCTCGCACTTCCCTTCCCGTTACTGGCCCGTCCGCGGCAGCCTCATTAGCCACCACTATCCGTACATTAAAAAAAAAAAAAAAAAAAAAAAAGAAAAAAAAAAAAAAAAAAAAAAAAA